TTGTGAAAAAGAAAGTGGCTTCTTGATGGTCGTGGAAATATTCAGCATTGTGTGCCTGGACACGCACAACGTACATGTAGATGTACATGTTTGATAGTTTTAGATGCCGATATTAAAGGCAGTTGTACAGTACGGTAGGCCTCATGTCAGTATGTAAAGCCAGTTAGGGTTACATTTACATGTATTTAGCATGACAGGTGGTCTGAAAGTGGCATGCGCCAATCTGTTGTCAAGTGTTTGAGCAATTGAAGAATGTTGTTTTTTCTCGTAATGTGAATGTGATGAATTGAAGAATTCCAAATAAATATATGTACATGTGTACGGGTTTTTGTTTAGAATTTTAAGCTGTGTGTTATAATTTGTGTATATTTGTTGGTCATACATGTGCACTTTGCTTGGAACATTTGAAAGTATATCCCAGGTACATGTATACCACACTGTGCACATATTTATTTCATAGGATTTATTGTGCAGTAAGATTCATTTTATTGCGTACAATTTATTGCGTCATGGCCGTGTGAACTGTAGTACTGTAGACACGTACCCATCATTTCATTAGAATCGTGTCGTAAACCAGCCTTATATATTTGGCAGGACTGTTTGGAGCAGCCCAACACTTTCTTTAATTTCCTCCTGTGTCAGCATTGTATCACGACGTAGACGTTATTATTCCCCGTTAACAGCTATTGGCACGACACGCTTCTTGCGCCGTAATGAAAAATCTCCGGCTGATTTACATGCGGTCGTCAATCGGCGGCTGCTCCCATCCCTGGCCGTTCACGAACTGATGGCCGACTAGGGGGGCATGATTCACGCCGCCGGGAGAAAAAAATTGCCTCACGGTAAATCTTTACTCGACGCTGTGACGTCATCCTAAGGGGAGAAGGGGGTTGACTAGGATGACGGATTCAGCACGTGACCTTTTAGCCTCAGTAGAAGCCTCGTTGGATCAACTGAAGTCCCCTTCCCTGTTCGTCTCTCCCCGAGGCTTTTTATGTCAATGCTCGACTTGGCTACAATATCCACTGCCGTCTGGAGTGGAAGTAATGCATGATGGAATAGGAAATAGTACCAACTGGAGAAGTCTTGTCGATGCTTGGTGACTGCATGAGATTTCCCAAGAAATTCTCCAATTTGGGCTTTTGAGGATGCTAGTGGTATCTGGATGCAACGTCTGGTATTTGATTTTCTCTCTTTCTCCCTGAAAAGAAACATACATTTACATGTACGGTATAAACATAAATGTACAGTACATGTGCATATAGTATGCTGTATGCAGTGCGTCCAGGAGTGCTTGCAATTATGAGGATGCATGTGAAATCTTGCATGTGTGGGCTGGTAATGGTATGCAGAGTGGCATGTGGGAAGAGTTGTGTAGAAAATGTAAGGAAAACTCAGACGGGTCATGTGTCTGATTTGAAACAGAGAAACGGTATAGTGCATCTTACATCTACATGTATGTATCTAATCATGGAGCAGCATGGCGGGTGGCATTTGAGTGTGCCTGGACATTGTGGAATTTGTGCTTTTGAGTTTGCCTTAACTGGAAAACACATACCTGCCAACCTGTCGTACTCCTTCCTGAGGTCAGGCATCACGGCATAATGGATTAGAAGTTTAAATGAACTGAGGGCTCTTTGAAATACCTTTAAATCTATTGTGTGGTAATGCCTGACCTCAGGAAGGAGTACAATAGGTTGGCAGGTCTGAAAACAAGGTGTTGAAGGTCTTAAAGTTGTGTACATTTTCAGACAGTTTGGGCTCAGTGTAGAATACCCTGGCTCATTTATAGAAAGTTGCGACATGAGTGTCTCAATTGTTGGAACCAAAATGGTGGATTATGTACATGTGTCAGTGCGCGGGGTTAGTTACCGATAGTACACAATAGCTGCATGCTGTACTTCAGACATAATGAACAGCCATTTTGGTGCCATTCTTTCTACATGTGTACATGTACATTTCTGCCCTGGCTATAAGTATACATATAAGTGGACAGTTTCAGACGGTGGTGAAGCCATGAAGCTTTGTAACGTTGTGGTTGCAGGGTTCCCGCAGCCTGGAAAAGTCATGAAAAAGTCATGGAAATTTGTTTTTGTTTTCCAGGCCTGGAAAAGTCATGCCTGGAATTTTGTAAAAATGACTAATGTCATGGAAAAGTCTTGGAATTTTTCAAACACTGTGTGTGATTTCATATTCTCAGAAATAAGTGCATAAAATGTGGGATTGTATGCGCAACATAAAAGGCAGAAGAGTCTAAGAAATTGCGTTATTGGGTCATGAAATTTCATAATTTGGTCATGGAAAAGTCATGGAGTTTAATTGTCCTTTAGGTGCAGGAACCGTGTGGTTGAAATGTGCATATTATGCCTGCTTACTTTCTGATGTTTGACTCTCTTAGAAACTTTCTCAAA